GGCATGCCTAGCAAGTTTGAAGCCCTGAACTCAAACCCCAGTGTAGCCAAAAAATAATTCAAATGGAACATAAGCCTAACTGTAAAATCTACAGAACTACAAAACTTCTAAAAACACTGAAGTCTTTGTGATACTGGGTTACTCAAGGATTTCTTAAATATGAAACCAAATATGTAATCTATGAAAGATCAAATTGATAAATTTCATCAAAACTTAAAGCTCCTCAAGACATTGCTCAGGGAATTTGAAAAGATGAACCACAGAGTAGAGATAAGGTGTTTGCAAAACATCTGCTAAAGGACCTACATCCCAGATATAAAGAACTAAAAAAACTCAATTACAAGAACACAATGAGGGGGCTTCGGGTGTAGTTTAGTAGTAGATTGCTTGCCTGGCATGTGCAAGGTCCTGAGTTCAATTCCCAGCAAGGAAAGAAAAAAGGAAAGGGGAAGGGAGAGAGAGCAGGAAAGGGAAAGGAAAAGAGGAGAGGGGAGGGGGAAAGGAAAGGAGAAAAGAAAAAGAAAGAGGGGAAGAGAAGAGAGGACGAACAACCCAATTAGGCCTCAGAACAACAGAACAGCCACAAGTCTTTGTCAAGATAAAGTGCAGGCTTGATGATGATAAAGACTTGAGTAATTCTAAATATGAAATATAAATGTTTCTGCCATAAATGCAGAATAGATCTCTTATGAACTGCAGCCTATCAACTGCTCACAAGTGCTGCTGTTTTTTTTTGCTTGTAATTTATTTATTGGCTCCTAACAGTGTTGAAAAGCTGAAAGTTCACCATTACAATGTTCTCCCCAATACAGCTCTAAGTCCTTCCACTTCTTTACAAACGAAACATATTTAGTTGTTTTACCATTTTTTTAAAAATAGAAACTGTACCTCCATTCTGCCTATACTCTTGTTCTGAAAAACCAACATTGTCTGGAACAGTCTGAGGTAAATCAATTCAAGAACATTAAATGCCACCAGAACGACCCTGATCCTGTGTCTCTCTACATCAGTGCTCCTAACTGGTAACCAAGTATTGGCTTCTTGGAGTCCATGAACATCCTGAACACCACACTAAACTTAGTGTATTTTTTCTGCAACAAATCCTTAATTTTCATCAGATGTCCATGAGCAAGTGAATGTAAAAGAACTGTAACCACAGTTCTAGGCCAGAGGTCCCACTGTGGGGGACCCAACATGTCAGGTGTGGTCACTCGCCCCAAACAGAGCAAGTAAATAGAAGCCACCTGTGAAAAGGCAGGAAAAGATTTTAAACAACATAGCTATGTGGGGAGATGAAAGAGTACTACATCTCAATCCATCTTTGGGGCACTGACATGAGCTTTAGGTTTAAAAAGATAAAGAACTGAGACAGAAGGAAAGAGATATGTAAAATTAAGCAGTGTTGCTCAGTTCTGCAAGACAGCTTGAGAGGACAATCCAGTTCCCAGGATGACTTTTCCTGCTAGGTGGTGATCTTAACATGGGGTGGTCTGTCTGGGAGGCTCGCTGTTCCTGGAATCCATGGTGATTGTAGATTTAGGGCAATAACTAGAGACTTTCAGGTGCCTTTTGGGGGATCTGGGACAGGACATTCTAAAAGCTGACTTACAGTAAGACAGGTGTTAGTACCTTTAGTCTCAAAGGGGATGAAATAGGGTTAGGTGTCACCAGTTTTTAGACAGACATTCCTTGAGTTATTAACATGCTCAACTGTAGAGTTAAGTAGGAGTCTGACTCAAAGTCTTCAGACAAGGGAGACACAAGGATGCTCCTGCTTTTAGTTCCCTTGTGGGCCCAAGTGAGGAGTCAGTGCTTTTTAGTAAAAGCAGTTTCTAAGTGCCTGTCACAAAAATTTACCTTTACCTGGCTATGAAGATTATGCATAATGGAAAATTTACACTCAATGATAATGCAAGTATTTCTGATTTTAAAAAAATCAAAATGTGTGTGAATACACAGTAAAGGATAGAGCAAAGAGAGGCCAATAAAATGAGAACTTATTTGATTCACACACCTTCCTTTCCAAGACAGAAATATCTTATGGAGGAATTACTTGATTCCCTTGTATTTTACAGATCATGCCATCTCTTTACCAACATAAGACAGAAAAAAGTTGTCAGGCATCGGTGGCTCATGCCTATAATCCTATCTACTCAGAAGGCAGAGATCAGGAGGATTGTGGTTCAAAGCCAGCCTGAGCAAAGAGTTCACAAAACCCTATCTCGAAAATACCCGTCACAAAAATGGCTGGTGGAGTGGCTCAAGGTGAAGGCCCTGAGCTCAAATCCCAGTACCACAAAAAAAAAAAAAAAAAAAAGGAAAAACTTGGCAGCTGATTTCCTGTACATGGTCAGACTTCCCTATGATTACTAGTGGTACCAAAGAACCTGAAACCATAAAATGGTTAGACACATTAAAATGAAAGCAAATTATAGGGGCTATAGGACACAGCACATGAAAGTGATACTGGAGAGAAACTGCAAGCAGAAAAAAATGCAGGATTTGAGGGTACTGGCATAAGATAAGAACACCTACAGTTAAAAGCACTCACTGCTTTCCCAGCTTGTACACACTCAGAATAAGCACTGGCCAAGTCCACACTAGTCATCTCACTAACCAAGCAAACACCAAGAAAACTCTTCAGCTTCATAGCAGTTTATCAACACGGGACTCCAACTACTCTCAGAGACAAGGATCCAAAGGAGAAAGAATGGGGAATAAACTGAGTCTAAGTTTCTTTGAATAAACATCCTTCAAAAATTCCTGCCCTAAGCACATAAAATTAGCAATATTAATTTTCAGGTTGGCGTTTTGTTCTGCTCTAGGTTAGGAAGCAGGAGAGAACTAAGAACTTTTATCTCAGTCAGGGAGCCACATATAGATTGTGATATTCAAAATTCATACATACAAGAAACACTGAGAATAACACCATCACCTAACATTTATTTAGGGCTTACAAGGTGCCTGGTTGCAGTAGCCCTCACCGCCCTCTGAGATCAATACTATTATGACAGGTTATATAAAGGAACCTGGGTTACTGACTCAAAGTAATCCAGGTAGTAAAGGTGGAAACTGGAATTCCAAGCACACTCACCTGGCCACTACGCTAGTGACGCTTCCACCTGGCAGTTTTTACCCGGTAAGCCACGGAGCCAGTGAAAAGAATGAAGGACAGCGGTAATGACCACATTTACATTAGCAGTAACGATCGCTCATCAGCAATGTGGAAGGCAGAACTATGGTGAGGTGAGCAAGGGCCTCAAAAGGGATGGTCAATGTCTACGTCAAAAAAGCTGAAAAGCGATGGGGGAATGGCTCAACTGGTAGAGCACCTCCTTAGCAAGCAGGAGACCGAATTCAAACACCAGCACTGGCAAAAAAAAAAAAAAAATGAACCATAGGAACAGGGAGGAGAGGACAAAAGTTTCAAATCTGAGCCTGGTAAATGCGGCGGCACTGTCTGGTTGTTTTAAGTATGGGAAGAAATGAAGGAAGCCACCTGTCAGGTTACTGGCTTAGCCATTGGTTAGCACTTACCGTCCATCAGCTGGACAGAAGGATTTGCTGGTAGTTTAGTTTTGTTTAGTGGGTAGGAAGATGACTTCTCCTTAACCAAAATGAAAGAAACCAATTCTACAGAGTTCCGAACCCTGACAAGATAAGCTTTCCAAGCTGGACTGGCGCATGCCAGCGACTTCGGAGGAAGGAGGTTCCAGGCCAGCCTGGACAAAAATTGTCTAGACCCCATCACAAAGGAAAAAGGCTGGGCGTGGTGGGTGTATACTCGTTATTCCTACTATGGAACAAATCACAGATTAGAAGGATCGTGGTCCAGGCCAGTCAGGCATAAAGTCAGACTGTATCTCAAAACTACCCAGAGGAAAAAGAGCTGGAGGCATGACTCAAGCGGTAAGCCCTGAGTTCAAATCGCGATACTGCTCAAAATAAAAAGTTAAGATAAGTTTTCCACTTTAGAATGATCTTATCTTTAAAATCCTTTGGAAAAAAAAAGAGTCAGGAAAGCCCTTCAACATCGCTAAATTGTAATTTTACAAATTAGGCACTGAATGGGTAGGCTGTGTAATATTCTGCCCAGAGTGGCCCTGTCGTGGTAGAAACAGGACTAGAAACCAGCTCTACTTACTGCTCCTGCTTCCCAGCTTCCCAACTCTACCAATGGGGATTCACATCACCAAATGTGCACATGTAATCACTTAGCATTTTAAACTAAAAGTAAATACAGATCTATAAGCTTAAAATCAGAAGCTGATCATAATTTTTTTTTCATAAAATTCTCATTTTTTTCCTTTGGAAAAACTTTTCCCTAATATCAGAGTATGTATTTATTATAACATTTTCTATGTTTCATTTCCTAAATACACTCCTTACCTGCAAAAAAAAAAACTTTAAATTTAAGATTGAAGAAATGATAGTTCCTCTAGGTTTAGCTTTCCACAATAAAGAAACCAAAGCGCCCTGACATGGTCTGGTCTGCCGAATCCAGGCTTTCATACGCTGCAGTCAGTCATCTCAGCTTCAAGGAACACAGCAGGCTCAAAAGCCCAGTCTAAACTTGCTCTCCGCGGGTCCAGAGAGTAGCAGCTTCGCCTAAGTCGCCTACAGAACGCGGAAGGAGCGAGCAGGACGCCACCCGCCTCCATCGCCAGCTCCCGGGGAGTTCGGCCGAAGGTATGCTTCCAGGACTCTCTCCACACTGTCCAGGCTGGTTTGGGAGAAACTGCACCCCGAAGACTCTTATCAGCTGACACAGGGATAAAGAACCCTGAGACACCCCAATCACTCACATTTACCGTGGCATGCATGCCCGACGCCTTTTGAAACAATAACCAAATCGCCCAAAGTTTTGTTCAGCCATTAGGCCAGCGAGGAATGTGGCTCACCCGGAAAGGACCGGTCATCCCAAGCCGGAGCCCCGCGCGCTCCGGCACCCCCCCAAACCCCGCCTCCCAGGCTGGGACCTCCGATCCGCCAGTGCTCACCCAGCTGCCGCCCGCGGCCTGCGCGCCCGCGCGCTTCTCCGGCATGGCTCCCGCCTCGGGCTGCAACGCCGCCGCCTTCCACTCCAGCTCCCGAGGCGACCCCACGTTCATGCCGCGGCCATGCCCGCACTGGTCCGCGGCGCTGCGGTACAACGGCGACGCCGCGGGGGCGGCGGCGGGGCCCGTGCCTTCATGGGCTCCGCGGCCCGCGGCGGCCTGCGGTTCGGACGGCGGCGCCAGCGGCGACGCCAACTGCCGAAGCGGCGACCGACACTGGAGCCACTGAGGAGGCGAGAACCCAGCAGCTCCAGGACCAGTTGCGCTCGACCACACGACCCCTACTCAACTGCAGCCGGTAGCATCCGTGGCGGGCAAGCAGTCGGGCAGGCAGTCCGGAGGCCGCGCCCCGCCCCGCGCCCGCTCCCCACAGGCGGACGCCGGCAACAAGCCCCGCCTCGCGCTCCGCTCCCGCCTGGAGCTTGGGCACCGCGCACCCAGTCGCCTCCAGCAGCGCACCGCCCACCCACAGACCCCGCCTCCCCGCAGCTTCCGCGCCGTACGGCGCCGCGCGCAGGAAGTGCGTCATCTTCCGGGGACCCCCCTCTTCACACACACACTCCTCTCCAGCCCCCCAGGTCTATAATACTTTTACCGAGACTGGTGGGTGAGTCTCGGGTAGCTGGAGTTTGGGAGTGTCCGCTCGTCTGCTGTTGGTTTGTCGATAACCCACCAAATGAATGGTAATTAATGCACCTAACAGTTATAAAAATGGGCACATTCTGACACGGACAGAGCCCCTGGATCCTGAACCGGGGTAGTGGAATATGTTCTATTAATACTCTGCTCCCCTCCAAAATCTAAAGAGAAAGTGACGGAGCGCTTACCTGGGCCGTGGGATCTGAGTTAAGCGTACAGTCTTCGAAACACACGGGCAGCGTTCCAGTCCAGAGCCTCTGGTTCGTACCAACAGCGTAAATATTACCCTCATCTGTAAAGTAAGGACCATACTTTAGGTAAGGTGATGTAAAAAATGTTGTTATTGTTACTAGCTTCAAGGGACCTCGTAAGACACCACAGCCCATTAAATCCGATCCGTTCACTATTGGTTTGCAACTTGCAACGAGATCTAAATACTCTGTGCAGACTAAGCTTCACAGACTTCAACGTTGTCCAGACATTGGTTCCCAGGGTATGTTGACATTACAACATTGGCCTTTCCTATAAAAACACAACATTTTCTTGAGTTTAGGTAATCTGCCCACACAGGTTGTAGGACTCTACTGCTATTTCATCCTGGCAGAAAACGCTCTAGTCCATAGTGGAGACAGGATTTTGGAGCCTCAGCTTTGCACTGATAGCAGAAAATTCCCCGACAATTCCCCAGGCAGCTTGCTCCTTTAAGTATCATTGGAGAAGATATGTTAAACAGACCCAGTGCATTTATAGATAGTTGTCATTTTCTGGAATTGTATCATTTTATTGAGCCAAAGATTTCTTGCTTGTTTCAGCCATGCGATTACATGGTGTTGTGAAAGTCCCAAGTAAAATGCAGGGCTAAAATTATCACACAGTAAATAATATTTGGTGGTGAGGCCATCAGTGAGGTCTGGTCCCTTGATGTGGAGAGTCATAAAAAATTTCTTTCTTTTTTTCTGTGCTGACAAACACTACCACCAAGCTACACCCTCCCATTCCTTTGCATGGCTCTTGCTTCTTTAAAAAAAAAATTTTTAATTACTTTTGGTGGGATTGGGGTTTGAACTCAGGGCTTCATGCTTGCAAAGCAGGCTCTCTACCCCTTAAGCCACATCTCCAGTCCATTTTGCTAGGGCTAGCCTCTAACTGTGATCCTCCTGATCTGAGCCTCCCAAGTAGCCACTGTGAGCCCTAATGCCTGGCTTTTTATGTAATTTTAAGAGATTGTTTATTGTATTATATTGACAGTTAAACAATAGAAGTTCATTAATTATTCACTAGTTCAGGTAAAAAACGTGAAATTCCACCTAATTTAATGTAATGGTCTTTGCTGAAAGATATATATGTTATCTTGTTTCGTCCATGAGGTGGTTTAGATCTACCTGTGGTTTGAATTCATATCAGAGAAACAATATGCAAGAAGAAGAAGCGTCTGTCCCGTGGTGGAAAATATGTGTTAAATAATAACAAAATTAAAACATTTCCTTTTTTGTTGCCAGATTTCCACAAGTTTTATAAGAATCTCCAAGAAAATAATATAATAAGTTGCGTTTCCCACACTTACTTGAACACAACACTTCTATTCTTGAAACATCGAATTAATAAATTTGTAGAATGTATAGGACATAGTTTACAAAAGAATGCCTATTTATTGTTTTTGAAAGATATGCATTAAATCATAGAAGGATACAACTCTAAAACTAGCACAAAAAAGACTGAATAATGTAACCTTTTTACCTGGCATATAATATATGCATGTCATCCTAGCTACTCAGGAGGCTGAGGCAGGGGGTCACATGAGTCCTTCACTTCAAGACCTTCCTAAGCAACATAGTGAGACCCTGTCTCAATAATAATAATAATGCAGTAATATCATTTTTAAAATAGAAAAAAAAACACAAAAGTTTCCATTAACAGTGGTTGGCTCTTGAATTAAGACTTTTTCTTATAAATTTCAGAAATTTCTCATTTTTTGCTCTGACTATATATAATTTACTTTTGTAATCAGAAAAAGAAAAACATATTTTTCAATTTATACAAAAAGTAAGTGGAACACAGTGGCACATACCAATAATCCCAGCTACTGGGTGGGTGGACTAAGATAGAAGAATCACTCAAGCCCAGGCTAGCCTGGCAATATAGGGAGATCTGTCTCAAAACAAACAAACAAACAAAAACAACTGTAATGAATCATATACTTTGTATTATTTTCTTCTTGCTACGCAGAAAATTACTGTAAACTTGACTTAAATCAACACTAATGCATTGCCTCTGTACCCATAGGTCTGGAGTCTTGAAAGTGTGGTGTCTTTTTCTGAGGATCTCACAATCCTGGATACTCACCTGGGGACTCTACTAAGTAAAGATCCACTTCCAACTGTCCTCAAATATTATGGATTGAAACTTAATGTCCTGCAAAGGCCCATGTGGTAAAGACTTGGTCTCCAGCCTAAAGTGCTATTGAGAGGTGGTAGAACTTTGAAGAGGTGGGGCCTAATTAGAGAAATTTAGATGATTGGGGTGTGCCATTGAAGGTGGTATTGGGACCCTAGCTGCTGTGCTTTCTGTCTCTGCTTCCCAACTATCATGAAGTGAGTAGACCTCCACACATGCTCTTGCCACCATGATGCACTGTTACCACAGGCCCAAAGTAATCAGGCTATGTGACCCTAGACTGGAACCTCTAGAACTGTGAGCTTCCTATTAACTTGATTTTCTCAGGTATTTTGTTACCACAGCTAGCCATTGATAGTCATTGATAATATTCAATTTACTGCTTTTTATATAATGTGAATCCTTTTTTTAAGTATGACTTTTTCAAGCCTAGTATGATAGTGCATGCGTATAATCCCAGCACTTTGGAGGCTGAGGCAAGACAATTGTGAAGTCAAGCAAGCCTGGGCTACATAGTGAGACCTGACTCAAAAAAAACAAAAATCAGTACTGCACTGGTGGCTCATGGCTGTAAACCTAGCTACTCAGGAGGCAGAGATCAGAAGATCATAGTTCAAACCAGCCAGGCAAATAGTTTGGTTGACCCTATCACAAAAAAAAAAAAAATCACAAGTAAAGAGTTGGTAGAGTGGCTCAAGTGGTAAGAGCACCTGCTTAGCAAGCATGAAGCCCTGAGTTCAAATAAGCTAGGCACCAGTGACTCACACCTGTAATCCTCCCTACTCAGGAGCCAGAGATCAAGAGGATCGCAGTTGAAGGCTTACCAGGCAAATAGTTTTGATAGATCCTGTCTCAAAAATATGTAACACAAAAAAGGGCTATCAGAGTAGCTCAAGTGGTAGAGTACCTGCCTAGCAAACATGAGGCCCTGAGTTCAAACCCTAGTACCACCAATATGTATAATATATATATTATATGGCTGGAGGTGTGGTTCAAGCAGTATAGCACCTGCTTTGCAAGCACAAAGCCCAGTTGAAATCCCAGTCCTACCAAAAAGAAAACCCCCTTAGTTTTATAGATTTTAGTTTAAGATAAAGTTCTAGGGCTGGTGGAGTGGCTCAAGTGGTAGAGCACCTGCCTAGTAAGCATGAGGCCCTGAGTTCAAATCCCAGTGTTGCCAAAAAAAGATAAAGTTCTAATCAAGTTATTGGCAGAATTCAGCTCCTTCTGGTCTTATGACTGAGGACCCCATGTTCCTGCTTGTTGTCATCTGGCTTCTGCTTTCCATTCCTTGCTGCCATTCTGAGGTCCTGCCTCAGGATCCTTCCCATGACATGGCAGTTTGCTTCTTTTAAGTGTCTGACACATTACTTTCTTCAAAGGACTCACCTGGTTAGGTCAGTCCCATCCAGGATATTCTCCCTTTTCATTAGTCAAAGTCTACTGATCAGTGACCTGATCATAGAAGTGAATATCCCATCATATTCACTGTTTCTTCCATACCCGGGAGGGATATTAGAGGGCATGTCCAATATCTATTATATATATATACAGGTGTGTATGTGTATATCCATTCACCTAGCATTACATATAAAGTACTTTCAGAATGTCTAACCAATCCCTCTAAAATCAGGAACCAGACAAGGACGCACTATCTCCACTCCTATTCAACATAGTACTGGAATTCCTAGCCAGAGCAATTAGGCAAGAAGAAGGAATAAAAGGAATACAAATAGGTAAAGAAACTGTCAAAATATCCCTATTTGCAGACGACATGATCCTATACCTTAAAGACCCAAAAAACTCTACTCAAAGCTCCTAGACACCATCAATAGCTATACCAAGTAGCAGGATATAAAATCAACATAGAAAAATCATTAGCATTTCTATACACTAACAATGAACAAACTGAAAAAGAATATATGAAAACAATTCCATTTACAATAGCCTCAAAAAAAATCAAATACCTAGGTGTAAACCTAACAAAGATGTGAAGACCTCTACAAGGAAAAACTATAACACTTCTGAAGAAAAGATTGAGGAAGACTATAGAAAGTGGAGAGATCCCCATGCTCATGGATTGGTAGAATCAACATAGTAAAAATGTCGATACTCCCAAAAGTAATCTACATGTTTTAATGCAATTCCCATCAAAATTTCCAATGACATTCATTAAAAGATTGAAAAATCTACCTGTTAAATTTATATGGAAACACAAGAGGCCACGAAAACAGACATAAGACCAGTGGAACAGAATAGAGATCTGGATATGTGAAGCCACACAACTATAACCAACTTGTCTTTGACAAAGGCGCTAAAATATACGATGGAGAAAAGACAGCCTCTTCCACAAAAA